TGTCCTCTTTAAATAACTTTTGGTAAGCACGAGCTTTAAGCGCAACAGATCCAAAACAGCAGCTACAAGTATTCTGCATAATCTTCTGCACAAAAAGAGGAACAAAATATAATGTTTCCTAAAAAGTCTCCAAGACCCTTTTTATGAAACAAATGCACTTCTGGTATAGAACCAATATTCCTAAAGTAACCCTCATTTGATTGCGACAGAATGTGAAATAAAACCATAAAGAATCTCACATTAAAAAAAAAAACAAATCTTCTAAGAAGCAAAACCCTAAAACCTGGTATAACATGCCAAGATATCGCGTTTGACATCTATGCAACGATGTATGACCAACATGTCAATACATCTTAATCAACATCTTCTTGTGATACTTGTTTTAACAGATTTTCTACCAACCCCAAAAAACATAGAACTAACAGTTTTTTCATTTGAAACCCCCCTAAGATCTCAACCCAATTTACAATACCATAAGCTAAATTGGATGTTAACAACTTGACCTAGATGGAACCAAAAAAATGAATGATTATGTTTACTTTATTTGTGTGTGCGTATAAAACCAAGGTTAAAGATTAAGAAGATTCTTAGTATTGTCGCTACTCGAAAATGCAACGACGGAGAGGCGAAAATGGAAAGACAGAAGAGTCGTCATCGAACTTTATTCATCCCAAAAGGGGAAGAGGAAACATCGAGAAAACCCTAAGAAAGAAACGGATAAGATGGTCTCGCAACCAAGAGAAAGGGTTCGGAAGCCGGTTATGCGAAGGGAAGGTATTAACACCCTTCGCATCCATCGTACTCGATGGGAACCATTTGTGTGTCTATATATGAAGATATCTACTAACTGGTATTGCTTTAAAGAGTGTTCCAAGGGGAGATAGAAAGGTTGGAAACAGGAAAAAGAGACTCGGTAGGACCTTGGGGTCCTATGCCTACGTATTCTTAACAGGTATGAGAAAGTCAAAGTCAACGTAGTTCGGGGAACCATAGATAAAAGACAAGAAAGTGTGCTCGGCAAGGATTAGGGCCCATGTGCCTACGTATCTTCATTTAAAAGAAGTGAAGAATCAGAGCAGTCGTAGTTCGGCCTACGGTTAACTGGTACTTTGGTTGGTGATACTAACGTATGCATTCTAGCAGTTAGGTGTGTTGCAGCTCGCTTGTGGAGTCTTAGGCGTTACCTGTTTGCGATAGAACGGACGTAACATATCTTTTCTGGAAAGAATTAGTTTCCGCCATCAAGGCAAGATGTCACATTTGATTTGTAAAAGTTATTTTTAAGGGTGAAATAGGTCCTCGGATAGTAACCCCTTGCAGGTAGTACCCAATTCTTTATCTCAAAGATTTATTATGAAAAGGTGTGGCAAATATAATCACGTCTTTGTATTGAAAGACGAGTATCGAGACCACACACTCTACAATGAGTATCCTGACACTTGGAGAGGAAGAAGTCTGCATTCAATCCTCTCTCTTTTGTTCAATACAAAGAGAACTTCATTCTCTTATTAAAGATGTTTTGATCTTGAATGGTAAGTGTTTTGCGATAGTGAACCCTAAAGGTAATGTCAAGAACTCGGAATAGCACAAGGCCTTCGCCTAACCACTCTACGACCATTCAAGTTTTATTAGGAAAAGAGTTTTAAAAATGCGCTTGGTACGAGTCTAAGGTTTTTAAACTCACAGAGAAAAGTTTTGCAAAGAAAGGATGGTGAATAGAACATGGTAGGTTGATGGTGATGCGCGAAGCAATCAACTTACAAGGGTTGAATACATACAAGGTTGGTGTGATTTAATGGAAGAGATGTGAAAAGAGAAGGAGAAACCCTAAGGTGGTCCAATTTGAAATGAGTTTGAAAGTGGCTTGACATTGGATCAAATCTCATTTGTTCTTTATTTTGAAAATGTGTTCTAACCTAATTCACTTTTTATCTTTCTTAGCAAATAAGCAAGCAAGTATAAAAGTACAACTAAGTTATTACATTGTAAATGGGGAGAAGGATTCATGAAGAAAAAACATGAAGGATGATCAACACGGGAAAATAGAGAGTAAGTCACAAAAATAAGTTCAAATGATTGTGAGCGAGGCAACAGTACCCTCTTTGTGGTTCAAGATCACAAATTTCTAATAACGATTTGACGCCTCACCTGAATCACTCATTTTTAAAATGTCTTTTTGGTTATCTTTCAACATTAGTAATTAAAGTTTAAAAAAAATGCAAGAATATCCTTGGCAAGCAAAAGAAGTGATAAAAGACAAAACTAAAAGAGATTGAACACATCAAAACTATAGTAAATAAAAAAGAAAACCTAATTTAACATCTTAAAAAAAAGTTATTGTAATCAAATGCTAAAAAAAAGTAATCATAAGAACATGGGACATGTTATGTTAAGAAAAAAAAAGCCCACATCCTAGTATTCATGAAGACCCAACGGATCATGGGAAGTTTTACCTTATACCCCTACCCTTATACCTACACCCCTACACTCAAAAAATTTAGACCAAAATACCCTTAGTAAATTTATAATCTTACATTTTTTTCATTTTTCACTTCCATTTTTCACTTTCCATTTTGAGACTTCCCGAACTCTACAAATTTTGATACATACCGGAACTCTTTCCCAAACACTTCCGGAACACATTTCAATTGAACTACATACCGGAACACTAAGAGTAAGACTTCCGGAACACAAAATTTTTAGGTTGCTCACCGGAACTCTTCTTTGAAGACTTCCGGTTTAGAAAAGAATTTAGTTTACACACCCGAAGTCTTTCCTAAAGACATCCGGTTCTCTTAAAGATGTGTTTCAACTCCGGAAGTCTTCAAAGAAAGACTTCTGGTTCATTGCTTTTTTATTTTTTAATTTTTGTTATTTTTGTTTTCTAATTATATTTAATTATTTATTTATTTTTTAATTTTTAATTATATTAATTTTTTTTCCAGTGGTGTGCACAAGAGGCAGAGATGGTAGGATCCCTCGTGAACTAGGACGGGGCGAGTCATCGAGGATGGCTGAAGAAGAGCATTTTGATGCATCAGCATCAGCATCCGAGCCGGTTGGATATCCCGGAGGACCGTATGATACGTCTCTGTTAGTTAGATACGAACAGCATATTGCATACCGTATATGGTTTGGTGAGGTAAGTAAACGAAAATTATTTAATATTGAAAATAATTCGAATTTTTAATATTGAATTTTATAATATTTTTACTTTTAATTTTTTTCAGGAGAGAGGGTCGAAGAAAGAGTTAAAGGTGGCGGGACATGGGATAAAGTTGACTCAGAGGGTTCCACTACAGTTACCCAGAGAGATGGAGAGCTGGATATCTAGGTCTGGTCTAGCTTCACTTTAGAGAACCAGTTTAACAAAGATAGACACAAACCTAGTTTCCGCTTTTGCAGAGAGGTGGCATCTAGAGACATCTTCACTTCACATGCCGTTTGGTGAGATGACGATTACTCTAGATGACGTATCTTGCCTGCTTCACTTGCCCATCAGGGGAGTTTTCTGGAACCCTCCAGATATCAGTGAAGCGCTTGCTGTTGAGTGCGCTGTTCATTATTTGGGAGTGTCACATAGAATAGCACAACAACAAGTCTGTGAGTGCAGGGATTCCTACTATAAGCTGGAGTGGTTATATGATCGGTTCGTAGAGCACAGAGCTGCATCTCAATGGGATTATGCCACTAGAGCTTATTTGCTGATGTTAGTGGGTTCCACTATTTTTGCGGACAAGACGTTTACGCTTGTCGAGGCACGATACCTGTCACTGTTTATAGACTTGGATGGCTTATCAGGATACAGTTGGGCAGCAGCTGCGTTGGTTACTCTTTACCGATATCTCGGAGATGCTTCCATGTTCAGCTGTAAGCAGCTTGGTGGTTATCCGACTCTCCTGCAGGTATTTATTTTAATTTAGTATATTTTGTTTTAATTAATTTTATCTAGTATATTAATTTTATTTATCTAGTTTATTATGTTATAATTAATTATTTTACATTTTGTAACAGTGCTGGATTCATGAGTATTTTCCCACCCTTGGAAAAAGAGGAGAGAACTGGATACCAGCTAATAATGTGGGTCTCCCACGAGCGATGAGATGGTCATATAGACAAGGTACCTTGAAGGTGGATGAATTACGACCTATTCTGGATGAGCTGACACCTGCTGATGTCATATGGTGCCCATTCGAGAATCATAGAGTATGGCGTCATTTTGATGAGTTATGCCTCTATAGGGGGTGTCTGAGGTGGGTGACATTATTGTTCCATACATGTTCGACATATGTTTGCGTCAGTTTGGATACAGGCAGTATGTTCCACATCCACCTCTTGATTCTCGAACGGCGGGTGATATTGATGTTGACTGGATTAGTTACCATGAGAGCGTTCAAAATGTGATTCGTCCGACAGCGCCGGCCACCACCCCATATGAGACAGATGATGGGTATCTTGAGTGGTATTATCGTGTTTCGCATCCTCGTCTGGTACCGCTCAGTGTTGATGCAACAACAGAGATGCCAGTTCCTGTATATGAAGCAGGACCATCTGATCCTATAGTGGCTCGTATGTCTTTATTGATACATCGTTATCTTCAGCAGACTGGTGTTGAAGAGGATGACCCACAGTTTGCTGATTTGTTCGAAGCTTTACATCTTGGTCTATCACAATGACTTTTATTTATATTTATGATTATATGATAACCTTTAGACAGATTTGACCTAATTGGTTTATGTTCATGTGTTAACTTTTAGACTAATTTGACCTATTTAGTTTATGTTTATGTGTTAATATAATTCACGATTCATGTTTTGCAATTAAAAACGAGTAACGTAATCCACGATTCATGTTTTGCAATTAAAAACGAGTAACATAATTCACGATTCATGTTTTGTAATTAAAAATGAGTAACATAATTCACGATTCATATTTTGCAATTAAAAACGAGTAACATAATTCACGATTTTTGTTTTAAAATTAAAAATGAGTAACATAATTTATAATTCAAAATGCGTTGGTAATATAGGCATAAGTTGTTGCCAATGTTGTAGACGTCCTGAAAATCCTATCATCCAAGATGTTGCTGCTGGAGAACGAAACTTCTTCCAATCTACTGTCACTGGTGGTAATGGAAACCCTTCTTTCATGTTTACCTAAATAAAAAAATAACTCACAATATTAACTAAAAATAACGAAAAAGAAGTAGGTTTAATCGCATTATCTAAAAACAACTAAGTACCTGAACCCAATGATTTATGTTTACAAAACCAATGCAGTAAATTGCTACATTCGGTGAAAATGAAGATGTCATAGGGAAGAAAGTCCAGCATTCAATTCCTAAACAGACAAGTACAACATTATAACGATTCGCTATCACGTAACCCATGTCTGGTAGAGTTAACCATTTATGTGGTGGCTGGGGACCAACTTCCTCTATCATCAAAGATTCTCTCACTACTGCTAACTGATCAGTAAATAAATTGACATACAAACTTGATCTTTCATTATGTATTATTTCCAACCCCAAGTCTCGACGAACCATTAATTGGCCAACCATCTTCACCATATCCATGCAATGAAGCAATGACTCAGAATCCATAATTACCATCTGATACAACATTAACTACATCATCAATATATGACTTGATGTGATTAGGAAATTGAAGGATTAGATGACTGTGAAGATTGTGATAATTTCAACTTCTTCGAAGCATGTGATGGTTGAGATTGCTTTTGTGAAGACTGTGATAATTTCAATTTCTTCGAAGTTTGTGATGGTTGAGATTGCTTCTGTGAAGATTGAGATGCTTGATCAACATACTCGTGATACGAAGGGTCTCTATAAACATCATATCCTACTGTTTTTTTGTCTTTCTTCTTGACTCCCCCTTTAGTTTTTATTTTCTCAGGTGGTGGACACATAGAAGTCATTGTAGGGAAGGCAAGTTCAAAAACCCTACTTTTTAATGCCCTTTTCCCAACAACATCCAGTGACTTAAACCTTTTCCATAACTCATCTATTGCACTACTCATATCCACCTCTGATCCATCATCTACATCTTCGTCCAACTTAACTTCCATACTTAGTTTTCTCCAATGAACATGCACAACATCTATTGGTATCGGTAAACCATCAATTCTATATCCTGTCAACTCACAAGCACAAGGTAATCTGTAGGTTGTTCTAAGAGTACAACGACATATTTCCTTGTTAGTTCCAACATAATCAACTTGTTTTAACTCTTCAGCAATGCGTCTCAATGCTTCTCGAGACACTGAACCACATAAATTATTGTAAAATGGACTTACGTGGGCGTGCTCAACTTTATAAAAACTCTTTTGAAAAGAAGCTCTAATATTACTCAATTGTAACTTTAAGTTGTCATTCATAGCCTCCCAACATTTGACCATGTCACCAATACTGTTCCCCAACATTTGCTTTAACTTCCAATGAGCAGACTCAACCCTAAAATTAATACATATTTAAAATATTTTAAAAAAATTCAAAAAAAAAAAATACAATTTATAAATACTAAAAATAAGTACATACCGATTAGTCGTAGTGTTACCCAAATGTAGCACTCGATTAATCCATGCTCCAACAAATCTTTGTATATGTGGTGTCAACCATGTATCCTTCACATAATCAATAAATTCATTACAATCAACACACACCTGCTCAAGTTGGCTCAACCTTTGATCATACTCAACCTCATCACTAGCCCATACAACATCCGTCCATAACTCGTCAATTTTCTTTTGCATGTCACTAGCCACATATTGTTTCCGTTTTGCACCAACATTCTTGTTAATATGAAATCGACATAGCATATTGATCGACCTTGGAAACACAATTTCAATGACTTTCATCAAAGCAAGATCTCTATCTGTCAAAATCACTTGTGGACACAACTCTTTCTTCACAAACAATTGTTTAAGCTTATCTAGCACCCAACAAAAAGTCTCAGTTTGCTCAGACTCAATATAGGCAAATGCGACAGCAAAAGTCAACTTGGTTGATGTCATGCCAACTATTTCAAATAGAGGTTTCCTATATTTGTTTGTCTTGTAAGTGTTGTCCATAACTAGCACAATAGGAAAAATATTCAACAACTTAACTGAATCTGGATGAGCCCAAAAGATATCTCTAATTACTTCAGAGTCGTCTCTTTTTCTACTCCAATAAACATAACCTGCTTCCTCAATAAGCTTAAACAAATGTTGTATCTCACTTCTAGGACCTCTTATATTTCTTTCTATCATACTCTTCTGTTTGTATATTTGCGTGATCCGAGTGACATTATCTGGATCTTGCTCTTGCAATGAAAGCAATATATGTCTAGGTGGAACCTTTCTCTTTGTCAAATCAACAACATGTTGCTTCTGATCAGTTGTCAACCTACCGACAAGTGCGTGACCTTCTAATCTATTAGGTAAACCATGGTTATGAACTCCACATTTTACATCAATCTTCCATCCAGATCTATCAGCCGCTGGAATTGATCTGATTCTAAATGGACATCCACATTTTTTCATCGCACTCTGGGTTCCACTACCAATATCTTTGTGTTTTCCTCCTTTATCACATCCAAATATTAATTTGTTACTTCTTCCTCTCTTGCCTGTTTTAATATCTGAACGAGTGATGATAACCGTAATTTTATTTCGGATTCCGATCTCTTTAATCCATCTTATTACCTCTTCTCGTGTACCAAATCTTTGAGTTGTTGAAAAAACATCAGACGTCTACGGATATCGGATCTTTATCGCATATTTGTAAAGGAATGTCTGAAACCTCTTCTCGTGTACCAAATCTCTGAGTTGTTGAAAAAACATCAGACGTATCTACGAATATCAGATTTTTATCGCATATTTGTAAAGGAATTTCTGAAATAATTACATAAAAAAAATTCAAAAATTAAAATTCAAAAAAAAAAATCTCAAACCGGAACACTTGTCACAAGTGTTCCGGTAGCTAAAAAACAAACCGGAAGACCTGTAGCAAGTGTTCCGGTAGCTAAAAAACAAACCGGAAGACTTTTTACAAGTCTTCCGGTGAACATTCACGAAATTTAACAAACCGGAAGTCTTTTCTGAAGTCTTCCGGTACATATTTTTGTGAACCGGAACTCTTTGTCCAAGTCTTCCGGTTTGAGGAAAAATGCCTACCAGAAGTCATTTCCAAAGTGTTCCGATAGATCGTGGGATGAATTTTTCGGAAGACTGAAAAATATAAAAAGTAAAAAAAATAATAAAATATTAAAATATATAAGGATAAAATGGGTATTTTTTTTAAAAATGTAGGGGTATGGGTATAAATGCAGGGGTATTAGGTAAAATTTCCCGGATCATGTGGCACACCTGGGTCGGACCGTATTGAGCCCAGGACCCGGTCCAGTCAACTTAAGGAGGTGGGTTGAAAAACCCTGATACACTGGCCATTTCCAGATCAACGCGTGGAGAGGAAAAACAAAACACAATGTGTTCCTGTGAGAAACATGATTTAACGAAACCTTCTCTCATAGTTTCAGTTTCTACAATCGATCTAAAGTTCCTATGCGTCTCCCTCAAATCACTTTCTTTTACAAATCCAAGTTCTTATTTCCCTATCCCAACTCACACAGATTTCTCTTTTAATGGTACAAGAAAAAAAACAAGCAAAACCAAGTTGCGGTAAAATCAACACATCTCGAAAAATAAAAATAGGAAAGGTCACAGTTTGATTCAGGAAGTGGATGCCAAGTCGGAAATGAAGGCAGTATCATAACATCAACATGGTAACGAGGGAGAAAGAGATACAATACCTATGCTATGGCAAACCAGACACGAGCTTCAGGTATGCTTCGGTTTTCTTTGTATTCCTCCTCTTCTGTAAATTGAAATGGCTTGGTTTGAATTTTGGGATATTGAAATGGTTCGGTATTCCTTGTGATTTTTGCATGTTAATGGTTATGGAATGACTCAGGTTTATGGATATTTATCTTTTGAGGTGTATGGACACTAAACCCGGCGGCTAGGTTTTTTCTTGCTAAGGAAGATATATGTTTTTGAACCGGGTAACTAATGACGATGAGTTTTTTTTATCCTCTGTTTTCCATTCTTTTGACAATGGAGGCTGTCTTTTTTTTTGCTTTGATCTGATTTTCTCTCTCGGTACTTTGCCCTCTGTTGATGATAAAACATCACTTTTTATAGCAGGATTTTATGGTTTGTGATTTGAACCTTTGATATTCATGGGATGGGGCAGAGGTATCAACTTGGTTGGTGTATGCTTTTTTTTCCATTTTTATTTATTCATCACTGTTGTACTATCTGCTGCTACTGTTATACTATCTATTATTTCCCTACATCACTTTGTCTTGTTCCCAATTCTGATCCCATTTGTTTATTTGTGTTTGGGCTGAATTTTGTGTGTGTCCCCTTGGTTTTTTCCTTGCTGTACTTGGTTTGAATTGAAAAAAATTGAACTTGGATTTTGATGGATTTGAAAACGATTTGGAATGAATGTAAGATGAAAATTGGGATATGAAATGATCCTTGAAATATGGACAAATTCCAATGATGTTATGTGTGGATTTAATTGGATATGATTTAGATTGAACATGATCTTGGAAAAAATTGAGATGAATGGGAATTGTTATAGATGAACTTCAATTTTTGAATTAGTAAAGCTTGTACATATGATGACATAATTTGGATGGGTTGCTTGGATCATGTTATGATGAAATATGAACTGTTGTTGTTATTCTTGTATGTTATTCCATTTCGAATTCTAACATATTTCTTTGTTGTTTCGTGCGTCGACGAGAAAATTTGAAAAGGTTTAGACGATGAGTTTGTGCGGATGATGAAGGCTTGGCTCGAAGACGCGAAAGTAAACTGTGGACGATGGCTTGGACAACTCGATGCCAACTTGAAGATTGATGAAGTCTTGGATAATGCTTGGTTGCGGCTAGGTTCGATGAAATGAGTCACAAAATTTAATTTCTTTAAGTTCCATTTGTTGTAACACTTGTAAGACTAAGTGCATATTGGCAATGTTTATGGTAAACAAGCATTTAGGATTTGCGACAAATGTGATATCATAGAATTTTCTTGTAATACTCATGCATTTGAACGTGAACCTTAAATTTGGAATGTTGAACCTAGTTTTGGATCATTGGAATTAGAACAAAATAAAATTTTGAAGTTGCACTCTTGAATCAAACTTTGTAAGTTTAAATGCCATGGGACTAGAAACAAAAGTTAAACGAAGAGGTCTTGAGTTAGGCCTTGCGAATTTTGTGAATTAAGAGCATTGTATTTGAATGCCTAAAATTTTTTTCAAGTAACTTCTCCTCGAAGAAATTCGCATGAATAGATTTTTCAAATTGAATTAAGACATATATTCACAATCTTGGATACCACACGGAGATACCACATGGAATCCATACACTAAAGCCTCGAATCACGCTACTTGATTTTTCTTGAAAATATTGAATTCATCCCACACTTGAATCCATATTCCATCGTAATCATCTTGAAAATAACAAGTAGTTGAAGGAGTAACGCGTAAGTCCACACAAATTTGCAAACTTATCTTTCATGATTCCACATCTCAAATTTAAGAAACAAACAAATCTGTTCCGATGTATTGGTAAAGTCCCAATTCCTGACTTAGGCAGCAAGAAACATCTTGTCTTGATAAAACCACAAAGCGAACTCTGGCCAATCAAACTAGTATCATCATGAAGCATAAAGAACTTAGCATAGCCTGACCACAACCCTTAATTGAAAATTTAGACCCATACAACATGAATCAATCATCTTCAGTCCTTAATCATGAAATACAGTTGTCTGACCAAAAATAGGTCAGACCTGGACGATCTTCAACCCTTACTGAGCCAATACATCCATACAGGTAGACCTCAAATGGATCCTAAATCAATCCCACTACTGTAACATCCTGAGTTCAGACCATGAGTAGAACCAACATACCCTTTTTTTTGGATTTTTCTGAATAGCAAATGGTGGGTGGACGTACAGAATGGAGAATGTACAAAGGTAGGACAAATTTGAGGTATGACAAGTATGTTCCGGGT